GTTATTTCAAAGAGAATGCAAAATGATTCATGAACAAAAGCCAGTTTTGAAGGAAAGCCTTTACAGAAAAGACAAATCATAAAAGGCATTGCTGATGTTGTAATGAGTGGGAGTCTTATTTGTGAATAGAAATATTTCACAAAATTTAAAGTAAATGCACATTAATAGCATTTATTCTATATACTTGTGGTATGGAAAACAGCTATAGGGTTCCTGGATATTCATCCACAAGAGCTATCCCTTGGTCTGGACAATCTAAAATGAACCAGCAGTCTCATTCACAGACACTTGTTATCTCTGATCTTCTTAAATATAAGAAATCACAGTAATTGCTTTAGCAGAGATTCAGGAGCTCCAAACTTACATATGAGAAGCAAAACAGACACCTTCTGAGTAAAATTACACATTTTCATTATAGCTAGGCATATCTGAGATATGCCTAGCTATACAACTGGTGGTTCTGAGATACAACTGGTGGTTCCTTCATTAAGGTTGCAATCCTATATGCACTTACCTGGAATAAAGTCCCTCTAAACTCTGTTGGGGCTTACTTCAAAATAGATATGTACAGGATTGCACTATAAACTGATGTTGTTGCTGTTGTTATTTGAGCCTCCACAGTGGAGATCCCACAATTTAGAATACTGTTCTAATTGCTAACAAAGCTTGATTGTGAGCCACTTGAAATTGCCACAAAACAATTTGGCTGCTGCAGCTACAACATCATCCTGATTAACAACGTCTTCCTGAATTGCCAGTACTCTTGGCTCTTCCATCTTTATAAACCTTACGTGTTCCACTCCTTCCAAAGAATACCTATGGAAACAGGGCATAATTAAACTTGTAGCAGAAGTACTCCATGATCTTCCAGTTGTTGGAGAGAGGAGGACATTGGCCATTAGTTCAGGTTCCTCATGTGGTGGGGACAAAAAAGACCGATCTCTGCTTTCTGGTGAAAGACAGTCATTTGGCATATTGAACATGGAAGTCCATGCCAATTGATCAATCACAAGGGGTGACTAAAGTACATGTGATATAATTACATGTTTATTATTCATGTCACCCATTTCCCTATGAGCATGATCAACAAGGAATAGATTAGGTTCTGCTCACTGACTTAAATCCTGAGGGGAAGAACCTTATGAAGCTGGTTGAGTGTAATCATGTGGGTTTGCAAATCATGCTCCATCCCCCTGCTTTGCCAAGGAAGAAGGCATTGATGCCTCTGCCACTGACCAGAGACATGTTCATCCACTGCCTTGGCTGGAAAGTGCATTCTGCACAAGATGCAGCCATTCACAGAAAGCTCAAACTAAGCCTTAACACTGGAGTCCCTCTGTTTAGCAGCTAGCAAGCAAGGATCTACATGGTGGCGGTCCTGTGCATACTTACCCAGCAGTAAGCCTCAGGTCTGACTAGACTTCTATAGGATTGAATTTACTCTATTCAGAACATAAAGTAGACATTTATAGGACTTCATTCTTATAGTAGATATATATAGGATTGCACAGCAGGTATAGTTGGAGAATTAGCTTTTGGGCATTTCTTGGGTAAAGATGTCTGGGAGGAAAATGAAGGCTAATTTTATTCCATTTGAGACTCTCCAAAAAGCCCATGGTGCTCTAGGTTTGCATCCCTCAAACTCATGCTGTTGGCCCACCCCACTTGAAACCCTCCTTCTCGCTGAGGATTCATGCCCATCGCTGGCTGGCATTGCCAGGGGAACAGCAGGCACCCAAGCCTGTATTGTGTTAGGGAGGCGGTGTTAGCAGAGAAGGCGGTGGGAAAAGGCGACTAATAGCTCCCCAACCCACCCCAATTAACTGTTCCTCAGTGGGGTTCCCCTCCATAAAAGCAATCCTTGCCCCCACAAACTGAATTTCGAAATTTATGTATTTATTTCTTCAAACAGCTCGATAGATGTTTGCTTTTTCCTTGTGCCCCCAAAACATCAAAAATCAAGCCCCAGATTAATGCACGTGTTAGCTGCATATACGCGTGTGTTAAAAGTGGTGGAGTCCTTCCCATGATGGGTAGGGGAGTTCAGAGGGAATGCTCCCACTGCCTCACACACCTCAGCTCTCCTCGTTCTCACATCCCGAGCCTCGGGCTGGCTCCACTGAACTGCACCATTCTCGATTTAGTAAACAGCGACTAAAAACCACCCTGTCATGCTTTGTGAACCGGGATATCTGCAACCGTCGAGTTCGTCAAGCTCTTCATTCTGCTCCGTTAGCCGCGGCAGTGAAGCCCGTCGGGCAGCCGGCCCGGCCTTTTGCCGCTCGGATACTCTCCGCAGCGTCCGCGCATGGGGAAGAGCGAGCGGAGGAAGGCGAGCGCCAGCCCGCAGCCCAGCAGCAGTGGAGGGCGCTCCGCTGTGACCACTCCACGGGGCGGCGGCGGCGGCGGGGAGCGCGGCGGGCTCCCGCGAGGGGCCATTGGGCGACCGCTACGGCAGCCCGCGCCGCCGCGGGAACACGGGTCGGCCGCGCGCGCACGTCCCCCTCGCCCCAGCACCGCCGCTGCGAGCCCTCGTCGTCGGGGGAAGCGGCCCCCGGAGCCCTCCGCGCCCGCCCCGTGCTCAGGCGGGCCCTCCTCCGTCCTGGACGGCGGACTCCCCGGACGGAGCCCAGTCGGCCCCAATAACCCCTACTGCTAAATCTGGGCGAGTGCAGACCACCCCACAGCCCCCCCAGCGATCCCCCCCGCATGCACGCACGCACAAGGCACCCCCACACACACTACACGCACAGCAACTGGCGCTTCAGGACCCACATTTATTCCGGATGACTGCCCTCTTCTGTTCCCCACGGTCATTCCCCGGCCCCCTCAACATGCCCAGCCGTGCCCTCCTCTTAGAGGCTTCACACGTACACCTTGGCACTCCCCGAAGCAACCCTCTCCGGTTATTTCTTCGCGACTTCACGCCCGTGCGCACGCACACAAACGGTCGCCGCGCATCCCCGCTATGTGACTAGGGAGCCCCTGCCGTCCCCCCAAGACTTTCCAACCGTCTCCCAATATTAACTGCGGTTGCCTGAAGCTTCCTCCTTCCCGACCCCAGCACCCACCCGCAAATCCCCTGGCCGCCTCCCAGTGCAAATTTCGAACTACGGCTCTTCTCCTCCTCGTACTTTCATTTCCAAAGACCCTCAGTCCTTCCCTTCACCTCCAGTGCTAGTTGCGGCTGCATCACCACCACTCCGTACGTCCGCTTCTTGTAGTAGCCGCCCTGTGTTGCCCACCAACGGCATAACACCCCCTCCCCCTTTTGCGAAGGCAGCCACAGCAGTGGCTCCGAGCAGGTGCACCCCAGGAGCATCCCTAAAAGCTCCCCCCGCCCTAAAGGGGGGGGGGAAGCTTGCACGAGTTGCGCCCTCACAGCCAAGAGCCTGGGCCAGTTAAGCAACAGTCCCAACAGCGGCTCCTTCTCCACCCCACGCGCGCACCCCCTTCCGTGACCGAAATAACCGCAGCCGCCGCCAAGACGCCCGTTTCTCCCATCTCTTCACCCCCCCCCCATATACCCCACGCTAGGAGAGAGAAGCAACCCCCGCAGCAGATGCACATCCCCCAACCCACGACAATCCTGTCAGGACTGACTGCCGTGCAGAGCACCTCGAGAGAAACCGAGCACGAGCAGGTGCAAGCCGCCCTCCCCGCACACACGCAGCCACTCTTCTTCCTCCGCCGCCTCCCCGAGGCAACCCCAGGCGGACACCTCGCCCCATAACTGCAACAACGAACCCAGCACAGAGCATTCACACCGAGATAAATCCTAGCAACGGCAACGGCTGCACGGCTCCTATTACCCCCCACCCCCCGTGACTCAATCCCAGGAGCAGCTGGACCCCTACCAGGCTTCAGTGCCTCCCCGCAAACCCCACTTTGCATCCACTGAGAGAGTTTGCAGTGTTCACCCAGCACTGGTCAGGGTTGCCGCTGTGGCGTGGGGGGGGGGGTGTTAGGTCTTAAAAAAAAAAGATCTCAGCACAGGCTGCACGGAGTGGGGGACGGGATCGGGGCTCGTGCTCCCGCTACAGACACATAGACACACACACATTCCCTCTCCCCACCGCCCCACATGGGACTTGTGCTGTTCGATGCCATTGGCTGCCGACCTCTTGGAAGCCCCTTACCTTTTTCAGCGCGGACATTCTAGTGCATTATTCATTTAGCAGAGAGTGGGCTGCATGCTGGGCTCAGCGAGTCAGGTGAAGGAGAAGCCGGGACAGGAGGAGGAGGAGGAGGAGAGAGTGGTGGCTGCTGGTGGCAGTAGTAGTAGTTGTTGTAGTACTGAGAGTGGTGTTAGAAGCAGAAGAAGAAGAAGAAGAAGAAGAAAAAGAAGTGAGGCAGAGGCGTGTGTATAATACCATGATCTCCCTTGTATATTATCATGTGTCACACACTCGCTCGCGCGCGCGCAGCACACGCTGAGGTGAACTGCACCGCTCGCTAGTCCTCTCCTGCCGTCCGCGCGCTGGTGCTGCTTTTGCTGCTGCTTAAGCAACTGTGCGCTGCGCCGCCGCCGCCGCCGCCGCTGTCAAAACCACCCTCGAGGCAGAATTCTCACGCTCTGCGCAGCCGCGCTCCCCCCCCCTTGCCACCGCCTCCTCCTCCTCAAGAGGCGCGGCATAGTTCTGTCCCCGCCAGGGCAGCCATCGAGGGGAAGGTCTGCCCTGCAATTCGAACACTTCGGCGCTGGGACCGCCCTCTCCTTCGCCGCAGAACCAATGAGGTGTCAGCTCCCCAGCTGATAGACACGCCTGAGTGGGAAGAAGGAAGCTAGGAGTGGGTCCCGTCCGAGCGAGAATGTGCGCGGCTGCTTCCTAGCTGGACAGAGGCGATGCATTGCAGGCGAGCCCCGGGGTGATACTTCGCCTCTGCTGCTGCTGCTTTCGGGCGGTGCTCCAGGAGACATGGCCCTTAGCAGGAAGGCGGAAGGTAAGGCGGCGGACGGGGGAAAAGGCCAGAAAGGAGGAGCTCGTGCGGTGGGAAGAAACGGTACGATGAAATAGCCATGGGGTTAGGCTGCAGGACTGCAGGTGTTGTGGGCCTTTTTGCACGGAGGGCGGTGGAGAAAAGATGCAGCTTGCGCAGCGTTAGTCTACCTTGTGTATTTGCCTGTATGATTGCAATGTATGGGGAATGTAGCGGGGGGGGGGGGAGTGACTACTAGGCAAGAAAAAGAAGGCCCGAAGGAGGTGAATTCTGAGCAAGCTTATGGAGAGGAGGAGTGTAAGTTGTTCTGGTGGCACGGGGGAGGGGTGCGTGGAGAGAGAATTCAGGTGGCCGGAGGGCTCCTTGAAGGGTGTTCAAGTGTAAAGGAAGCTAGACAGTAGACCTGAAACTGACAGGGGCCAATACCATTAATAAGGGCTTTGCTTTGCCTGCCTTATGAGTTGTACCAAACTCCTAGATGTCTGCATACAACCCTAACTGACCCGTTCTGTTCTGTGCAGCTATAAGACTCGGGAAATGGTTCCTGTGGTTGCTGGAAGCAGGAGCATTGGGAAATCTTAGCGAAAGTGGTAGCAAATGTACCAGTGGATGGTGATGGTGCATGAAAATCTTTGCACTGTGGCTTTACTTTCCTGGTGATGTATCGCATCTTAATAAAAGCATAGCACTGAGTTGGTATTCCAGGCAGAGAGGGGCGGGATTTGGGGGTGAATCAGCCTATATCCCTGAATAATAAGTTTGCTGGAAATGCAGTGAACCAGCACTGTATAGATGCGATTGTCTAGTTCTAGGGCTAGCCTTACTGTTAGACAAAACAAGGTGGCAGCCTCAGATGATGCTGCAGGATGAGGGCTCAAGAGTGAGCAGCAGCCAAGTTTCGGGGGGCAGACCTGGGTGCATGTGCGCATGGGTCACGTCACTTGCTCTGAACCCAGTTATGCTGCCCTGGTGTGTAGTAGAAGATGGTGATGTGTCACCAGCGTCAAAAAAGATTTGTGTGCCAGTTAAGTCAGCTTTTATAGTAAGAATGGTGGTGGTTGGGATTTTGTCTTTCACCCCCTGGCAGTACTTGAGAGGTGTGTGACAGGGTCCAGAGCACCATTATATCTATTAAAACTTCTGATATGGAGGTGTTTCTGTGTAGGGATAAGCAGTGACCTCAGTTTACTGAAGAGGAGATACTTTCCCAAGATCCTAGTTGAGGCTGAAGTACATGCTAAAGTAGTGCCTGAAACTGAGGAATGAAATTAAGTAGTTTTTAGTACCTTAAAATCCTGCTTTGGAGTTTCCAGGGCTGCAAGTAACTACTGCCTAGATTAAATAGAAATCAGTGCACAACCATAATATCCATAGCTTTACAGTGCAATCCTGTACACCCAATACCTTGCCAGGCAGCAAGTCTCACTGAACTCAGTGGGGCTTATTTCTGATTAGAAATGAATAGTGCTGTGTCATTAGCTACATTTGCCCCAAGAAACATTGTTGAGCTGTAGCTCTTTATTTAGTGTTCACAGCCAGTCTGGTTGACATCCATCATAATAATACATTTTTGCCTGACCAAATGGAAACATCCATGAGCATGGGGCAATAATGGCAGGAAATGTAATCACTTCTCCTGGAGTACAAATATGTATTCCTGTTCAAGGTAGGATGAGCAAATAGTGGTATGATGAGGGCATAATTAAACTAAATATGTGTTGGGGGGAACACAGTAGGCAGTCGCAATGTTTTAATTGTTTGAATCATTTTGGCTTCTGAGAATGAGGACCTTCTGTTTTTGAAATATAAATTTTATTGCATTTTTAAGGAGGTTACCAAGCCAAGAAGCTCCACTGTGATAGCTTTTATTTGTTGTTGTTGTTGTTGTTCTTGTTATTGGTAAAAGGGGGAAAAAGAAAAAAGTAACATGAAAAAGAAAGAAAAAGATACAAAAGGACCCTACACAAAAATTGCATACAGTGTTAAGTACAGAAAATTACACAAAAAATCAATATTTAGTATTACCAATACAATTTTGATTCAATGATTACAAAAAAGCTTTAACATGGGTATCAAGTAAATAATAATTCATCTTACATCTACAAACCCACTAGCGATTAATAATTTTTCCTTTTTTCCCAGATAAAACAAAATCATAATAAAAAGATTCATAAAGCAATTATATTAATTTGAGTGTTGCATGTATAATAATAGTAATGCTCCCAAGTACTAATAAAGGATATATAATAGGCTTTTCATTTAAGATCAAATTCTTTAACCGATCTTCTATTATAGCTAATTAGTAAAAGTATCAGCTAGGTCATCCTTACATAAATGTTACTTTTTTTCTGCATTGTTAAGTAAAATATGTAAGCTTTCCATTTGTCATTAAATTCTGTGACTGGTCTTCTATTTATATAGCTGGTTAATTTTGCCATTACTGCATATTCCGCTAATTTATTTTTCCAGTCTTCACTAGCTGGACCGCTGTGATAGCTTTTGGGTGCACATTTGATTGGCATTATTACTCTAGCACAGAGATGGGCAATCAGTTGCCTTCTAGAAATTGTTGGACTGCAACTCCTGCTATCGCTTACCATTGACTATATTGGCTAGGGCTGATTAGTTGCAGTCTAGCAACTTCTGGGAAGCCACCTATTCCTGGCTTCTACCCTAGCCCTTCCTCTATTGTGTTTATTGCTCTGGCAAGATGCAAAGGGAAGCTGGGTGCTAAAGAATCCAGATGGTAATGTGCCAGGTACTAGCACCTAATGTGCTTAAAGTTAATAACCCATGAATTATCTACCCTACTTGAATTAACAGGAACAAGTACGCAAGTCGTAGGACTCTAGATATATGCAGATGCCTTCTTCATAGTCTAATCAATGTCCTAGTCAAGCAGCACACAAGACAAGTGAAAACTGGCCAGTCCAAGGCACTAGTGTGAAATATCCTCCAGTCCTTCTCTCAAGAACTAGCGGATTATTTCGTAGGACAGTAGGAAGCTGCCTTCTTACTGAGTCAAACTGTTGGTCAGTCTAGCCTAGTATTGTCAGCGCTGACTGACAATAGCCCTCCAGGGTTTCGGGTAAGGATCTTTCTAGCCTTACCTGGATCTGCCAGGAATTGAACCAGGCACGTCCTGCTTGCAGAGCATGTACTCCCAGTGGGCCATGGCCCCATCCTTTTGTTCTAACAGCCAGTAATGAAATTGCGCCTCAGAAGCACGGCTTTGTAATGCTTAACTAGGCAGCCCAAATTCAGGCACACGGCCAGGGAGATCTGTTCAATCTAGGAGACAAGGCATTTCATTGAGTTTGCCAAATATTACCTCTGTGGTGTTCTTGACTGATTCCTGCCATTATCATTGAGGCCACGGCTTCATGGAGGAGCTGATGTGGCGTAGTGGTTAAGAGCATGGGACTGGGACTCAGGCAATCTGGGTTCTAGTCCCCGCTCAGCCATGGGGCCAACTGGGTGACTTTGGGCCAGTCACAGACTCTCAGCCCAACCTACCTCACAGGGTTGTTGTTGTGGGGATAAGATGGAGGAGGAGGAGGATGTAAGCTGCCTTGAGCCCTTTGTAGGAAAAAGGCAGGATATAAATTGAAAAATAAATAAAAATAAAATAAATCACTAGATCCAAAACACACTGATGAACTGTTGCTTTGCCTTCTGCTTCTTCCAACCCAAGTATGTTTGCCTAACATGCTTACTTTGTGACCCTCTCATAGTCCACTCACTGTAATGTAAATCACTAATCACTAAGACTAGATTTAAATCATGGTTTTCTGCATAATTTGCACGCATGCCTGCCTTGCCCATAGGTAGAGGAACTTCATTAAAATATTCCCAAACTGGCTTTCTTTTATGTCCTCTGCCATTATAGGTTTCCTCCTTTAGAGAAAGAATAATGCCATAAACTTCAGGCTATACACAAAAAGATCCAAATACTTGTGGAGTATTCTCAAAAGCAGAATACTGCTTGCCCCTCTCTCCCTCCTCACACTTAGTTTCTTGTGGAGATCTATTCCATTCTTAGTAGTCTTCTATTCATTGATACATATTTTTTTAAATTTAAAATGTAAGAGACGAGGGGTTGATTCTGGGTACATAGATTTGCAAAGGAACAACTGGATTAAGGTCTTTTCCGTAACTCTGTATGTTCATTTTAGAACTTTTTTCCTGTGAAAAAGAGGCATGTGATTTTTCCAGACACAAATTCACAGTTTTGAGAACTGTAAAACCAATCATCTGTGATATCTTCTAGATAGAAAAACTTTCCATTTATCTTACAGAAAGCTCTGGATGAGGATGACATTGTGAATGGATTAATGGAATTCATTTATCCAAAAATTTAAACAATGCATGAATATACAGCCTCATGCTAAAAATTAAAAACTATTCCTTATTTCATTATGAGTAACCTTTGGACAGTAAAGTATCTTAAATAGAAAACTTTCTTTTGATAGTTTTTTTCCCCCCAAGAAGCATTTTATTTAAGAAAAAAACCAATTTAAATGAAAAAATCTAATTTAAAATTTAAAAATCAGATTTAAATAAAACAATCAGATTTTTTTTTAACCATTGATTTCTATCCACCCTGCTCATAGCACTCCACACTTTTTGAGGACAAAGCCACATTTCTGTGTCCAGAGTTCTTCTGTACTTGTGCTACCTTGCTGGATGTAAGGGATGGGAAGGTGGATCTTGGGGAAAAGCTATTGAGAGCCTATTAAGGAAGATTCTCCTATCAAGTACTGTAACCAAGGATAGGTAATTTCAATGTGTGCAAGCATTTGCATCCTAGCGTTTGAACAACTCTTACCTCCTTGTGTATATACACACCTTGGCTTCAAATTCCATCTTGTTAAGGGACTGATAGACCTTGAATCCTCATTTGGACAGACACTACATGGTTTGCTTAGCAATGAGTTTCTGGTTTGTTTAGTCACTGGTGGTGGAGGAGCCAAGCAGGAACAATTTGGCATGAGGATAAGCCA